TGTAGGGTTAAAAATTCCCATCACTACCTACATCGTACACGACAAGGTTTTTTAAAGATAAAATTTCCTTATTTTCTACCAATCATGGGGGATTCGTGTGACCGAGGTATGTGTGGTAAGAGTTTTCCAATATTTTGATCTCACGAAAATTATTGTTGCACTTCTGAGCATAACTTTCAAATTTAAAAAATCTATGAAAAGAAAATATGAGACAAATTTTTTTTTAGATTAATCCAATGTGTGGATCACATAATATTTCAAAAATTTTTAACTTGAGTATAGATGATCCGCACTGTATAGACATATATAAAATAGCCCAACTTTGAAGCCCTATAACTCAAAAGTAAACTGATGGAAATGAAGTTTAGGTCTTTAGCTTTAATTCTATCAGTTTACTTTTTTCTTTTTCTTTTTCTTTTTAATAAGGAGTTATAAGCTTTTGACCGTTGTAGATGTCCTGCACTATACTCAATTTAACAGATGTAGTGATATTTAGAAATTATTTGCTAAATTTGTACTAGTTAAATATCAGTTAAGATTCACTGTATGTTGTGCATCTCTTTTTTTGCTGGCAGATCGGGATATCGTCTTTTTTTAAAAACCAAGGAAAAAAAATGGCAACTACTGACGTTTCAACTTATTATTTTGCAAGTATTTTATAAATATTGATATTATGGCTAAATATTTACATAATGGTTTTGTTAATTAATTAATAATTAAAAGTCTTTTTAATGGACAGAATCATACAATGATAAGAGTTAAAGACCCAGAAATTTCAATTAAATTTTATGAAAATACTTTAGGAATGAAGTAATAATCAAAATTAATTGATTAATTATTATTTAAATATGATTTTTATTTAACATTACAAATATTTTTTAAAAAAAATAAGATTAATTAAAAAAATAGATTTCCCAAATGGTAAATTCAGTCTTTACTTCCTTGCATATATTCCAAAAGATCAAGTTTTACCTAAATCAGATGATGAGCTAAGTGCTTATGTATTTTCTAGAGAGGGTGTATTGGAATTTACTCAGTAAGTAATTATGGTTGTTAATTATTTGCAACAGCTTTAAATTATAAATAAAATATTCAATTAGACCCAATATATAAAGTAATTGGGGAACAGAAAATAATCCAAATCAAAGTTACCATAATGGCAATACTGAACCAAGGGGATTTGGCCATATTGCAATATGTGTTGATAACATTGAAGCAGCTTGTAAAAGATTTGAAGAACTTGGTGTAAAATTCATCAAAAAATTAACTGATGGTAATATTTTAATAAATGTTATTTTCTTTAAAATTAATTTATTATTTTGGCTAATAACTAAAGCAATGTCTACTACTACTGCCATTTCATAGGTACAATGAAAAATATTGCTTTTATTAATGATCCAGATGGTTATTGGCTGGAATGAGATATTAATAGACTATTATCTATTAAATGTTTATCTGGGGATGTTGAACGGCTTGACAGTTGTTTGTCTGGAGATGTCGAACGACTTGATGACGATATGCTTGTTGAAGTCGAATTTGTTGTTAGTGTATTTTCTGGGGTTGGTGAATGATTTATGGGTATTTCAATGTTTGAATGTAATGATGATGATGTTTTTGATATTGACGATTTTTCTGATTTGATGTGTGAATTTATTATTTTGCTCTGATGTTTTGATTTTCTTGATTTGTAATCACCTAATTATTATTGTTATTAATTATTATTATAGAAAATTATAGAATAAATTCTTAAAAATACTCGAACTATTTTAACAAGAAAAAAAGGGAGAAATAAAAATCAAGTTTTACCTAAATCAGATGATGAGCTAAGTGCTTATGTATTTTCTAGAGAGGGTGTATTGGAATTTACTCAGTAAGTAATTATGGTTGTTAATTATTTGCAACAGCTTTAAATTATAAATAAAATATTCAATTAGACCCAATATATAAAGTAATTGGGGAACAGAAAATAATCCAAATCAAAGTTACCATAATGGCAATACTGAACCAAGGGGATTTGGCCATATTGCAATATGTGTTGATAACATTGAAGCAGCTTGTAAAAGATTTGAAGAACTTGGTGTAAAATTCATCAAAAAATTAACTGATGGTAATATTTTAATAAATGTTATTTTCTTTAAAATTAATTTATTATTTTGGCTAATAACTAAAGCAATGTCTACTACTACTGCCATTTCATAGGTACAATGAAAAATATTGCTTTTATTAATGATCCAGATGGTTATTGGATTGAAATTATCCCATCTAATAAGGATGTTACTAAATAAAGAAAACAAATTTTTTAAGTTGGTGAAATATATATTTTTTCCCTAATACTAATAAATAAATTGTTTATAAAAATATTTGGTGCCTTTTTTACACACACCATGTAAAATTATTTATTATCAGATTCAAAAATTGACATTAATATAATTATTAATGTTCCGTCAATCAATGATAGATATTATAATATGTAGATCCGGGATATTAGTTAGTTATCCCCTGGTAAAAGTCAGAAAATAATGGTATTAAAAATGTAAAACAATCAACAACGAAAAAAATTGAAAAAAATTTTCTTGATTTATTTATTAAATTTATCTTAAGGAGTTTCCTTGGTTGGCTGTGACCCATTAAGCCATTATGGAACAAGAACTCACAACTGGTGTTTGTTACCTTAAAAGCCACTAGTAAATCACTGTGTCCAAGTCAATGGGATAGCTTTTTAAAAAGACTAGCTCTTAGGTCATGAGTTACACAGTTGATTAACACCTTTTGATTTAAATCATATTCCTCCTTACCAGATGGCATATGAAAGAACTTCATAGAAGATATAACTTCATCTTCTAAAAAAACCATCACCTGAGAAAGCTCTTAGAACCAGACTTCTTTACCTTAATTCAGGGGAGAAACAAACCATATTAAAATGGATTTGTAGGCATATAACAAATGTTATTGATATAAAAATAAAAAAAAACTCCAATATTTATGTCAATAAAGAAAAATTAAAGACCTGATTTCAAATGGGTTCTTGACGTTCCTTATAATATTAGAGAAGCAGCAATCTTTGACCTATTCAAATATTGCAGCAAAATTAAAAGATTAAAAAAGGCAATTAGCAGATTGAGGAAGAAAAAATGGTCATTATTCATTCCTCAAAGGTATTAATTAAATCAAGCAAAGAAATAAAATATGATCATTAATCATATTGGCAAATTCTACTTATGTGTCTCTAAACCATTTGAAATTAAGGCTGATAGCCAAGGTCCTAAATTTTCGGTAATAGAGGTGCTGGCATTATTTTCACTTGATCCAGGAGAACTTTCATGATTGGATATAACCAAATGGTGAGGTTATAGAAAGGGAAAACGGGACATAAGTAGATTATGTCGCTTATGCCTGCATCATAACAGAATTCAAAGTGAAAGGGACTCAATTCATGGTAAAACAAATAAATATAAAAGATATATACAGGCCTGCTGATATATATCTCGGATCCATAAGATCTTGTGAATGAAGTCATCGAAAATTTGCAAAATGGTAAAACCACTATGTTGTTTTGCTCCCTAAATTTAAGATACGACAGTTTAATAAAGGTAAAGTAAGCGTGGAAAAGATTAGGTAAGATATCCAAATACGTGAATGAAGTTTTTCATACCATGAGTGAAATCCTTCACAATCAGAGAATCAAAAAATACTTTACCATTCTTAAATATACAACGTTTAAATTTCTAACGTTTACTTCTCCATTCAGTACAATAACAGCTGCTTATGTTTGATCTGGAACACCATTTCGACAGCCAGTAATATTAAAACATCATTAAATCCCGCATCATTCCATTGGATAATGATCGAAAAATCTAATATAAAACTCAGAGGCAAATGTTGAACTGATTTTCGCAAATCCTGTGAGTATCCTTTGTGCAAGATGGTAATCTGAGCTGAGGTGTGCGAATGTTGTGGGCGCATCAACAAAATCTTGGACCTTTAGATGTACATCTTGCAAATCAACCATTGAAGTAGTAGAGCCTTTTGTGATACAAAGATATATTATAGAAGTTGGCAGGGGTATTAAAGACTAGTGTTACAGTGGCACACACGCCAAATAATTGGGGCAAGTAATAAATTTATTGGTATTTTTTTTTTTCTAAAAAAATTTTTTTTACAATTTTTTTCTTAAAAAAAAAACTAATTTGAATTTTGTCAAAAAAAAAAAATAAAAAAATAAAATAACATTAACATTAAAAATAAATAATTTAATAATAATAAAATAACAACAACAATAATTAAAATATGCTTTCATATAAGGTTAGAATTTCATAGATTACTTTTTAAATTATGCAACAAATTCATACTAAATCTTTTTGATCTCTGCTAATAGGAAAATTGTCGTCCAGTCTATGGAACTTTATCCAGAGAAACAATCGATAATGTTGTCGCTCATTCTATAATATACCAAACAAAAAAGGTATATTTTTTCAAACATTCATTCTTTCATAATTTAAATATATACGACTTATATATAAATTAAAATTTTATTCATGTTAGCTCCCGTGGAGTATAGGAAATCCATCACTTGTAAGAGGTAAAGAATATAATTATAATCATTGCTATTTTTATTTCTCCCTTTTTTTCTTGTTAAAATAGTTCGAGTATTTTTAAGAATTTATTCTATAATTTTCTATAATAATAATTAATAACAATAATAATTAGGTGATTACAAATCAAGAAAATCAAAACATCAGAGCAAAATAATAAATTCACACATCAAATCAGAAAAATCGTCAATATCAAAAACATCATCATCATTACATTCAAACATTGAAATACCCATAAATCATTCACCAACCCCAGAAAATACACTAACAACAAATTCGACTTCAACAAGCATATCGTCATCAAGTCGTTCGACATCTCCAGACAAACAACTGTCAAGCCGTTCAACATCCCCAGATAAACATTTAATAGATAATAGTCTATTAATATCTCATTCAAGCCAATCACCATCATCATCATCATCATCATCATCATCATTATCATCATCATCATCATCATCATCATCATCATCATCATCATCATCATCATCATCATCATCATCATCATCATCATCATCACAATCATCATTACTATTATCATCAACAATAATTAAATCACCACCAACTAAAGAATCGAATAATAATAATAATAATAACAATAACAATAGTAATAATAATAATAATAATAATAATAATAATAATAATAATAATAATAACAAAATTAACGATAATAATATTACTTTAATATCGTCGCAAAGAGCAAATTTACCTAACGTAATAACTACTGCTACGACTTCTTCAATACAATCTTCAAAACTTAAGTCACTATCATTACCATCACCAACAAAGTCATCATCGTCATCATCATCGTCATCATATACATCTTCTTCTAATACAAGCACTAATACAAGTCCCACTACATCTCAGATTATTAATGGCAAAAGTGATCTTTCCAACGAAATCCAATCTTCCGCTGCTTCTTCAACCACTAAATCCACACCAGCAAGATGGGCTGATCTTCTTCGTACAAATGGTGCAAATAATCATAATTCTGCACAATCTACTCCTCAAAAATCTAATAATACCACTCCAAAATTACAAAGCTCTTCAACATTTGCGAAACAAAGGAAATCTTCTGTCTCGTTGCCCAACGGTAAGCCTATTTTGAATGGCTTGACAGGTATAAATTTCGTTATTATGTATTGAGATTCTTATAAATTTGCATATATATATAAATAAATTAAATGACTTTCAAATACAATTAAGGCATTTTGAAAAGTTATGAACTGTCGTTAAAAGGAACTTTTATTCAACCTCGAGGTCTTATGAATAATGGAAACACATGTTTCATGAATGCCGTAAATATTACATTTCACATATTCCACTTCATCTTTTAAATTTTTACTATTTAGCCAATTATATTTAATCATTTAATATTTAATTTTCCAATAGATTTTACAACCGCTTTCTCATTGTCCTCCATTATACAACCTACTCATGACTGTTAGTAAAGAAGTAGCTCATAGTTTTAAAAGCAAAACTCCACTCATAGATTCTCTGTGAGTATTTTAACCTAATCTTTACGTATATTCCTTGTTGTCAACGATATTATCTTGATATAAATTATTATTATTTTAGTGTTATGTTTATGAATGAGTATAAACAATCAAAGCTTGGCGATAATGCCGAAGGTAATGAATGTTTTTATTTCTTTTTAGGTATATTTATATTTAATAAAAAAAATCAAACCTCCTCGTACTAATTGGATCATATTCAAAAAAAAAAAAAAAAATAGAATATGGTGAACCATTTTTACCTGAATATGTATATTATGCTTTAAGAGGCCTTAAACGCTTCAATTCCATGAAGGGGCGGCAAGAGGATGCAGAAGAATTTTTATGCTTTTTACTGGATGGTTTACATGAAGAATTTTTAACATGTAAATTAATTAAATAATTGATAATAATTTGACTTAAAGCTAATTTTATTTATTAATACAATTTTAGTTCAAGAAGAAAATAAAAATATTGTTACACAACCAGATAAAAATACAAAATATAGAACAAATGGTAAAAATGATGGTGAATGGATGGAAGTAGGTCCAAGAAATAAAACGAGTTACACTAGAACTGTTAGTATAAAGGTTTCATCTACTTATTAATTTTTATTTAAATTATTAATAATTTTAATATTACAGAATGAAATTCAAGAAACTCCTGTCAGTAGAATATTCGGAGGGCAATTTAGATCTGTTTTGAAATGTCCTGGAAGCAATGATTCAATCACTTTACAACCTTATCAGTCTTTACAATTAGATATTCAAGTATTTATTCTTTTTTCGATAGTTTCACCATTTATCAATTATTAATTATGTACTTTTCTATTAGCCTGATGATGTCAAGACCATTGGTGATGCTTTAAAAAACCTTACAGCTCCTGAACGTGTGGATGATTTTTATTCTACTCAAAAAGGAGGAAATGTAAAATTTTCATCCTTTTCTTTTTCTATAATAATTAATTTATTGTATTTATTAAATTTTTTTCGTAAAAAAAAAAAAAAAAAAAATAGATCCAGGCTACAAAAAATTTATATATTGAAACGTTACCACCAATACTTATACTCCATTTGAAAAGATTTGTTTACGATAATGTCGGCGGTACGCAAAAATTGAGCAAATTTATTAGTTATCCAGCAAAATTAAATATTCAAGCCGGTAAGTTTAAATATGAATTTTTTTAGGAAAAGACAAATTCTTTATTAAAATTTTATCATATCTATTTCGAACAAATAGATATGTTTGCTCCTAGTCGCCGGCCATCTCAACCGGCAGAATATAAACTTTTCGGTGGTATGTATTATTATTATTTATTATTATTTATTAATATTGTTTTGATTTGTCGCTTTTGCAAATATTAAAATGGTTACTTTTTTTTTTAATTAGTGGTCTACCACCATGGAAAATCGGCAATGGGGGGACATTACACCTGTGATATTCTTCGTCAGAATGCTGAATGGCTCCACATTGATGATACGGTGATCACGCCGATATCAGCTGAGGATGTGGCGCTAGCTGAGTGTCCTACTCAGCCAACTGATCGGTTGGCCTACATCTTGTTCTATATGAAATCCAACTGATTTGATTTAGTTTGTTTAAAATATATAACATTATTATATTATAATATATATAATAAAAAGTATTATAATTTTTTATTTTGTGTGCAAGTTGGTAAATAATATTATTTAATTGTGAATATTAATAATAAATTTGTAAATTTGAAATTTTTTTTTAAAAAAATTTTTTTTAGTATACAAAGATTTTTTTTAATCAATTATTATATTTTTTTTAATAAATAAATAATAATACGAATGTATAAAGATTTAGATAAAAATTTTAACAATTAGAAGTGTAAATCAATCAGATATTTCAATATTCGCCTGTCAGCCACCACCCACCCATATCTAAATGACTTCCCTTTTAGAAATAGAAAGATCAGTTATTCCTGTTACTTCAGACTAAGCACAGTGGCAACAGCTTTATTACTTACAATGCACAAGTTTACTAATGTTTTCGTGATTTGTTTTTCAAGTGTGATACGTAGTTATAATGGTTTGTGTAGAATTTTCAAATATAAACTTATCCTAAATAGCGAGTGAACCTCTTTTTTTTTCTTGGTACAAGCGGGCCACTGGCTGGTCCTAATCATTATAGATACCTAGTCATTCATTTCAAAAAGAATTACAAACTATTCACGTACACACTAACCAATAATTTTGAAAATAGCCTTTTCGTAATAATTCATTTTCTATTTATATAATTACTTAATTTAATAAAACTAACCACTACATATAAATTCTTCTCGAAAGAAAACAAATATGAACGTTGGTGGTGTGCAACTCCAATATCAACCGTGCACTCAAAATCCAGCAAGACAGTCTTGGATAGTGTTACAGAATAATAATTCAAACAACGTAGAGGTAATAGTAATAGTGGTGTTAATGGTAATAACAATAATAAGAATATTGGTAAAAATACTGATATTAAAAACAAAAACTTAAATTTAATAAATTCGAACGTTAAATTTAGCCAAAGCTAACAGAACAAATTCCCCAATTACTATTCCAAAAACTGTTCCAAAAAGTTTATTATTCAACAAACACCAAAATCTGATAGATTTAATAATGATGATGATAATAATTTATCAGAAAGTTCTTCTAAAAGTAACAAAAATATTACTACCATGCCGTAAATGACTGGGCTGGTAGCTACCATTGCCGTAAATAGCTGTTGGTAGCTGCCATTTGCCGCCAATAGATGCAGTTGCCGTAAATAGATACGACTGCTGCAAATAGATACTGCCACCGCAAATAACTACAACTGCCAGAAATAACTATGACTGCCGGAGATAGTTTTCAATTATTGTCATTAGTATTATTAGTCATCTTAGTCAATTAGTCAGTCATTCGTTTACAGTGAAATTATGTGTAAAATAAAATTTGCAGCAGCCGTATTTATTTTATAATGGTAGTTACCATTGCCGCAAAATTAGTTAATTTATCAAAAGCAATTTACAAATTATACTTTTCCAAAACATTTAATGGATTTCCAAAAGATATCAAACAATCCACTTTTAGGTTTCCCATTACTCTTCAACTACAAGTAATCCCAGAATGCTTACACTCTAAAGTGTAGTGAACAATATTTAAATACATTGGATAAACAAAATTTAGGCATTATAATTCTAGTCCTATAATTACTAGATTCACTACAGATAATTATTGTCAAGTTGAATTAGATCCTGGTGTACCTGTAGTATTGGGGTGTCCTACTGGGGTATTCGATATAAGTTGATTAACAAATCCAATTAATGTCATAATGGGTGCCTTCAAAAATTATTATATTGAGATTGAGATTGAATATTTGATTGGATTGAAATTGAAATTTTCAATCCATGATCAAAAATTATTTTATCAAGATGATTGACAATTATTAATTAAAAATGGAATTTTTACATCTCTTTCTCTTTTATTAATCATCAAAGAAATGAATTGGACCTTGAACTTACAAATACCAATGCTGATGATTTTAGTATTGATGTCTTTGTTTTTTGGGTACTTCAATATTTTCCATTTTTTATTTTTATTTTTATTTTTATTTTTATTTTTATTTTTATTTTTATTTTTATTTTATTTTCATTTTTATTTTTTCAATCTTAATACCTGACCTAGATTGAAATTTCATATTAAAATTCGATCTCAATCTCAATCTCAATCTCAATCTAATAATTTTTGAAGGCGCCCAATGTAAATACATATATGCGGATTTTTTTATGGTACCCCTTTTTTCTCTAAAAAAGGAAACAGTTTAACAAAATATATTTTCAAATACATTATTACATTATTAGTATTATGAACTTTCAATTACTAAGGCTTTTGGAAAATCATTACATTTATAAAATTATTAATCAGGATACATTTGTAGAACAGTGCTATGGAGAGGGAATTTTAATTTCATACAATTTTTTCGAAAGTTGCAATAGATGATAAAGAAGAAATTTTCTGTATTTTGAATGAGCTTTTTTATGCCATTGGTATTTTATATCCATTAAATCTTTCCATAACTCTAATCTATATTACATATACTATCTTGCATGCTAATTTGGTGTCCATATCTTTGAAAATGGAGGAGGACTAGTGGTTTGAAAACAGCATGTTTTATTAGCGTTTTATTAGTATTAAAAACTTTCAATTGCTAAGGCTTCTGGAAATCGTTACATTTATAAAATTATTAGAGGTTTTTAATCAGGATACATTGTAGAATAGTGCTATGGAGAGAGAATTTTATTTCATACAATTTTTTCGGAAGTTGCAATAGATAGAAGTATTATGATAAAGAAGAAATTTTCTGTATTTTGAATGGGCTTTTTTATACCATTGGTATTTTTATATCCATTAAATCTTTCTATAACTCTAATCTATATTACATATACTATCTTGCATGCTAATTTGGTGTTCATATCTTTAAAAACAGAGGAGGAGTAGTGGTTTGAAAACAATATGTTTTATTAGTGTTTTATTAGTATTACAAACTTTCAATTACTAATGTTTCTGGAAAATCGTTACATTTATAAAATTATTAGAGGTTTTTAATTAGGTTACATTCGTAGCTATGAGAGAGAATCTTTATTTCGTACAATTTTTTCGGAAGTTGCAATAGATAGAAATATTACAATAAATAAAGAAATTTTGTGTATTTTGAATGAGTTTTTTTACACCACTGGTATTTTTAATCTATTAAATCTTTCCATGGCTCTAAAGTATAATTTATATAATATATAAGGCTCCGAACGAATCAATGAAATTCGAACCGATTCGAACCGATTCGAATTCGAATCAAATCGAATCACTTAATTTTTGATTCGAATCAGTTCAAATCGAATTCGAATCGAATCGAATTGTACTTTGATTTGATTTGATTTGATTTGATTCGAACTGATTCGAATATATAATTTAATTCGAACGGATTCAAATTCGGATTGATTCGATTTGATTCGAACAGATTCGAATATATAATTTGATTCGAACGGATTCGAATATATAATTTGATACAATTCGAACTGATTCGAATATATAATTTGATTTGAACTGATTTGATTTGATTCAAACTGACTGGTTCGAATCTATAATAATAACTGATTTGAATCCATGATTTGACTATATCAGTCAGACGACATTTCACGCGATCGACATGTCTACTGTAATAACTATGTAGAAATTTTGTGCAACATGTCAATTTTTACTATTAAAATCGAAGGAACTTTTTCATTTGTTACCTAGCACACCCACATGA